ACAAACCTCTTTAGATCAAATAGTCTAAGTTTAAAATATCAAACCATCGGGGATTAACGAGATTACATCTGTTTCCGGAGCTAAAAAACTTAAGAATTGTGGATATCTAGATCAATACTTTTCTATTGTTAATCTCAAGATTAATAAAATCTTAAGTTTTTATCAACAAATTGTAACTAACTCAACCAATCGAGTGGCCTTTCGAGGATTCTGAAAAGCCAATCAGAGAAGCCGGGATATTTGAAATTTTGAGCGCCATTTAATGAATGGACTCGCATTTGTCAGACAAAGTACGGATATTCAAAATGTGAGAAAAAGAGTGGATGAAGACGGAAATTAAAAGTGTCCACATTGGATATTCAGATTAAGCAATCAAATTATTAAAGAATTAAATTAAAGGTATCCAATTCTAAATGTTCACCTCTGGTTGCACAGATATGGGGATTAAAAAAGTTGAATTTCTTTGCGCCAATGATTGGTAAAAAACCTGTGTTTACTGCAGAATCAGTTATGCTTGTGAACCTGGATACGAACTGCAAGGACGAACACACAGGTAAAAGGGACTGTTCCGATATTTAAAAGAAAATCTATTTAACAAAACAAGACATCCGTATATATATATATATATAAGAATTTGAGCCGCGGCTTTAATTTGAGATGCGGCTTAAATATGGAACTTTTAATGATTCTCCATGCTAAGATTCCAATATCCTACTTACAGCGGTACCCTCAAAACATTAATCTGAGAGCGAATTTAAAGAATTTGAGCCTTTGACGTTTGCCTTTAGATGGAACTAGAAAACTCAGCTGTTGCCTATTCAAAGAAAGCTTTGTGCTTAAACATACATTTAAATTAAAAATGTCTAGTTTTTTTACATTATTTTTACATATTACCACTAAATTAGTTCGTAGAACAGTATTTGCACTTAAAAAATGTTTTTTGTCAACAGTTTTATATCTACATATTTTGCATATTTTTCACGCAAACTTTTGAATAGAAAAATTATATTTGCCGCAAATTCTAACTTTCTTACTATCTTTGCAACCTGCTAGTTTACACTATAAGTTAGTCCTTTGAAATATAATACAAGCAGTGTCCGAATTTAATGAATTTGAGCCGCGTCTTAAATCCACCAAAATCGGTTTCCATTGAACACCGGCTTAAATCTTGAAACATTGAATACAATTTTAAGTGAAACCAACCATATTTGAGCCCCGGCTTGAATTTAAGCCGACGCTCAAATTCTTTAAATTCGGCCTCAGGTGTCAAAGCTTTTGAAATTAGACATTTGTGACAAATGTTCAGTTTCCTCAAAAAGTTTTCCATTTTGTATTTTGTTTTATTGGGTAATCAGTTTTATTGTAATCCTCCGATCAAGCTTTGTTTAAATATCTATCTAATTCGAATACTTGAGCAAAGATTGAAAAGAAGTTGGGTCTTTGCCACAATTTCAACTTTTCTAATCCCTATATATTTACAAACTTATGGCGTAAACCTTTGATATTTCAAACTTGATTCTTTGATCTAACAGTTTAAAAATTTACGGTGCAATGGGTTGCAGAGAATATATAGATATTGGATAATCAGAGTTTGTGGCAAAGGCTCATTTCCTTTGTCTTTCTCTGTATTTTCAGAGTACAAATTTTCAGTATGGATTCATTTTTAAACCATGTCAATGCCAATGCATTTTCAAGGATAGGGCCAAACATGTTAGAATTTATATTTCCAAATATGATTATTTTATTAAAGTTTTAGACTGGGATCTTTAATAAAGGATTGGGCCACACTGCTAGAAAACTAAAAATTCGAAAATGAATCTGAATATGATCTTTATTCTTTGCCCTGGATAGTCGGCATATTTTCTTGAATTGGTGGATTTATTCCCATCTTCAATTTTCTTGAATTGGTGGATTTATTCCCATCTTCAATGACATTTTGACTGACAGCTGATTGTTTTAACAATATTTTTGCTGATTTTTCAGGTTTTACAAAAACTGCTGATCTCCGGTAAAATTGAAAATTTAATTCTGACGAATTGTTAAAATTATAGATTAATAACAATACAGTTAGAACGCTAAATGTCGTCTTTTCAAGATTAAGGGGTTTTTCGTTCGCAATAACCCTGAGGCAGAAGCCCAATTAAGTTACGCGCAAGCTCTCTTTTTGTCTTTTAATGCGCGTAACTCCTTTTGATATTGTTGCCTCAGGATTGTTCTGACCGGAAGAAAACCTAAATCTTGAAAAGACAACATCTAGTGTTCTATCTGTTAATCTGTAGTTAAAATATTTAAGTGGAAGAATATAAAAATTATATTAAAAAACCCAAAATATAAAAGAGTGTTAATTAGGATTGGCGATAATCATGTTGGTTGAAACATGGAATTGGAATGAAAAGTGACATTCAAAAATTCCAGATAAGACGTGTTTAACTCCTACGTTAAAAAGAACTTTCATGAACGGAGAACAAAAAAGAGCTTTTTATGAGAAATTTTAAAATTCTAAATTAAAAAAATATTCCAAAAACGTCATAAAGTTCTTTTAGCTTTTTTTTTGCCAAAAAAGATTTTAGATGAAACTGAAGCATGATCATGAGTTCAACAAGATTTTAGATAAAACTGAAGCATGATCATGAGATAAATAAGATTTTAGATAAAACTGACATAATCATAAGATAAAGTCATGTAGAATAAATGATCTTATTTAATGGTTTCAAGAAGTTCCATTGATGTTATAGATTCTATAGATTATAGGTTTATCGACAGTATGATTGAGATTAGTTCATTTCAGTTTTATATCATCTTCTTCTCTATTATAAAACAAGACATTCGTATATCTCCTCCTAATAGCCGGCCAAACGGCTGGACCGAATGGGCTGAATTTTTTTGAGGGAACCCATGGATACCCTGGGGGTAACATAGGCTAAACAAATTTTAAAATTTAAATTTGTCAAAAATCATTTTTTTTTGTTAATTCCACGGGCAACGCCGGGCCCTTGATACGTTTGCATTTACCATACTTCTTGTGCGAAATTATCAAACTTTTGGTTTTTTTCTCGCGAAATATCGCATTTATCGGTTTCGCGAAAAATGCGAAAATTTCTTAAAACAAAGAATGCAAAATTTCCTCCAAAACAACTAAAAGTTTAGATTTTTTTTTGCGAAACAGATGAACATTTTTTTTCTACAAAAGGAATGCAAAAAAATGCGAAATTATCGCTAAAAGATTTTTCATTTCGCTAGAAACCCTTTATCAGACTGTTAGTATAACTAGACGTGTGCTTAAGAACTTTGATGTAATATTCTATTGTGTTTTTTAACCATTTGACTAAATCCAAACGTTGTTGAAAGTAGAAGTCTGCTTAAAGGGAATATAGAAAGTAGACGCACCCCGGACTAACAAGAGAAGCATTAGGTTTTTTTTATTTCAAATCAAACGTGGTTTGGTTTATATAATTCAACCATCTTTTAACTTACGGACTTGTTCATTTAATACTTTTTCTTTCAAAAGTCACAGCTTTCTGAAATATTGACAGAACCGTCAAATCCACGTGTAAGTCAAAACGGTACTCCTGTCTTATCGAGAGTATTATTGTTTCTTTACTGAAAATTAATAATTTTATTTTGTGGATTTTCGGTAAAAGTGACTTCGGAATTATTTATGCCAAGTTGTAAAGTTGTAAAGTGATGATATTTTCCTTAGATAAAGGTTTCAAGGGTATCGTTGTGAAATAAATAAATGGAGGTTCCCTTGAAATAAATAAATAAATGGAGGGTCCCTTGAAATAAATAAATAAATGGAGGGTCCCTTGAAATTGAGCCTACTGCCCCTTTGATTTGACCACACAGCAAACTAGATTTTATTGACATTGACAAAGTTTCGCCAATTTCTTTTTTACTCTACAATTTTCATACACTGAAAAATTACTTAAATTTTTCCATTTTTATTGTATTTGTTTGAATGAAAGGACAGTTTACAAAATCTTGACTTTTAAATTGTCATTAATTCTCATTAAAATAAACGTATTTTGGGACAACTTTTTTGTCGCTTTGACCGGCAAAAATTTAAAAAAGCTTCACCTTTAAATTTACCTCACATAATATCCTCTTCTTTTACAAAAACCCTTTCCATAACAATTTAGAACTATAAAGTAGTTGTTTTTGGCTTTTTTTTTATAAAGAAGTAATTGGCAAAATTCTCATCAATTTTTGTGTGAAAGCTTGCAAACATTTTATATCTGTGATGGAGGTCACCTGAAACTACGTCTTTAGTCACCAAAAGTGTAATGTCTTCAATCAGACCAAATAAAGAATTAAAATTATTATTTTTTTCAAAAAGATAATTAATACATTATTTAGATACTGTCAAGCAGATGGGTCGTGGAGTCCAAAATTCCTACCAGAGTGCAAACGTAAGTAAATGATGCTCTCTCCCCCTTTTCATACCCCCCCCCCTCCCCTCCACCTTTTAATACCCCCCCTTCCCTCTCCCATTTAGAGAATAGGTTCAAACATTCTCGGTCTCTATGAGGTGTTTTGAGGAAGATATTGATATAAATATGGTCATAAAACTAGAATATATTTTAGAAACAATATTTTGAAATAAGAAAACTGGTATTTTATTTTATACAAAACATTTTTTTGGACAATTTAGTAAGTAAGATCAACCTTGTTGCACCAGCTAGTCCTATTGAGTGTCTACTTTATTTACCCAATGTCCGGGCGATACAGTACAAACTGGGACCGGAAAGGTTGACCCGGCTCGGAAATTCAAATGTGCTACGGCTGCCCGTGATTTGTACGACTTAATCTCAAATTTTTCAATACTTTTAATTTTCTCTTAGATCAAATAATCTAATTTCAAAATATAAAAGGGTTACGCCATGAAACTACAAAGATATAGGGATTGAACAAATTGATTATGTGGAAAAGAATCAGTTCCTCGTTTCGAGAATGGATGTTAATATGAACTGATGTCCCACGCACCTCTGACCCCAGACCCTTTAGTAAAAGTAAATTCAACCTAAAGTCTGACCGCTTCATCCTTGTTGCACCAGCTAGTCCTATTGAGTGTCTGCTTTATTTATACAATGTCTGGGCGATACAGTACAAACTGGGACCGGAAAGGTCGACCCGGCTCGGAAATTCAAATGTACCACGGCTGCCCGTGGTCCGAGCCGAAAAGCAATTAAATCTAAATAGTGAATAATTAAATTTTTAAAATTTTAAAATTTTTTATTTTTAATTTTTAATTATTTTGTCGCATTCATATTCTCACAGAAAAATACTTATTTCTTAAGAATGAGAATTCAAAATAAAATCGAATCGAAATGTTACATTCTTAGTTCTTAGTTCTTATGTATACGTAAGAACATGTATAACGTAGTTTATTCAAAGTGAAAAATTGTCGAATATTAAATAAGCTAAGTTTTTTTATAAATATTGTGCATTGATTTTTTCATGCGACATTTTTTAATAATATTTAATGCTTAAATTTCAGTCTTTTTGATGCATTGAAAAAATAACGATTGTTTTGCTTTTTTCACAAGGAAATATGTTTTAATCCCAATATTTTTGCAACCAAATGACTTAGGCCTTTGATATTTCAAACTATGAAATTTTTAAATATCAAAGGTTTTGCACCATCAGGTTTCTCAGATATAGAAGGTTAGAAAATTTGAAAATTTGTGGGAAAAACTCAGTTCCTCTTTGGTTACACTGTTTTTATTTAAGTTTCTTATTCTAATATCATCAATCTATAATATTTTGTTTCAGCTGTTGAATGTGCAGTTCCCCTGAACCCAACCCATGGACGAGTTATGTACAATTCAATATCCTATAATTCTCTGATATCCTATGAATGCAATTATGGATATATGATCATAGGTAAGTTAGTAGAATTCACTATCCTATAATTCTCTGATATCCTATGAATGCAATTATGGATATATGATCATAGGTAAGTTAGTAGAATTCACTATCCTATAATTCTCTGATATCCTATGAATGCAATTATGGATATATGATCATAGTAAGTTAGTACAATTAAATATATTCAAGTAATATTCTAAAAAAAACGTCCATTAAAAAGTAAGACAAAAACGTTTTAAGATGGCTTACATGGTGCCGTTATGAATCGTGTATAAAACTCTTATAATGAAGGGTTACTTAGAAATGCTAAAGATCTCTCTATTCTACAATTAGTCTGGTGAACAAAGTTGAGCTTACTTGAGGTTTCAAGATCAGATTAAACTTTAAACTTGAGAAAAATCTGCAATTTAATTCTCCAGAGGGGGCCGCCAGAGAAGTTACAACACAATGTTTAAATAGAAAATACAGAAAAATCACAATCAGAGCTAACAAGTCATTAATATTATGACCTAAAAGTTGTAATCTCTGTTTGTCTGTTTGTATGTCCGATCATAACTCATGAACCCCTTGACCGATTTATTCTAATCCCTATATCTTTGCGAACTGAAGATGTAAACTTTTGATTTTTTAAACTTAGATTATTTGATCTAACAGAATTAAAAGTTTGAATTATGAAAGGTCAAATTGTTGCAAATATATTGGGATTAGACAATCAGAGTTTGTGGCAAGGACTTAATTCCTTTTGGAACTCGGTAGAACCACGGGAATGTTCTTAGCTTGGTTTAGAGATTCTAAGTTGGGTGGGTCCGCTTTAATTGGGAAAAATAGCTTTAATCGTAATTTACGACCAAGCGCGTGTAAACGACGGGAGTTAACTATGAATACCCTGGGCAACGCTGGGTTCTCAAACTGACTAGTTTCTAATCCCTGGATTTGTGAAACCTAATGGTGTAAACCTTTGATGTTCCAAACAGAATTTATAGCTTGAAATATCAATGGTTTGCACAGTTTTGATCAAGGTTATAATGCAAGGAAAGTTAATTGCAGTTGCGTATACTCTGCGTACATATTGAAATCAGATCTCTTTGGGCGGAATTTGTAAACAAGAATAGATGCAGTATCCGTGGAGGATAAAAGCATTTAAATTTGATAATTTTGATAATTCACATAATAGTTTTCTATGTTCAGAATATGTCATTGAATTTTTTATGTGAAAGATGGATCCCATTACCGCCCAGTGACAGTACACTGCAGTACAAAGATGCGTACACTTCTAAAATAACTTTCCTTGCATTAGTACCTTGGTGTTTTGATAAACTTGATTTTTAACGATTCTACTATTCTGAAAGAAAGTTTTTTAACCAAGAAACTTTTCAAAATAGTAAAAAAAACATGGTTTCTGTTTTTGTCAATTATTGAAGTTTATATTTTTATTTATTCTAGATTTTCTGAACTTTGATCCCACATAATATATATATATATATTTCAACTGAAATATATATATATATATATCTTTATTTCCTTATGATTTATAAATATTAGAAAGTCTGTTTTATTTATCCTAATATAGTGAGAACCGTAAAAGTTCTGGAATGAATGTTGTCTTTGTTCTTTCTTTTACTTTTAATTTTAAAATTCGGTGATGGTGATGGACCAAACCTCTGTAGAGTAAAAAAGTAGATGTTAGTTCCACATTTATTGACCAGCGCCATTTCCTTTTCCTTTATTCTTATTCCCTATTTTACGCCCATCTAACACAAGAAAATTTATTTAGTTATATTATTAGAAATTCAAAACATATTTGTTCTTAAAAACTTTAAGATTTCAACCTTATTTTAACGTGATACTGATGAAAATTGATTTAATATTAATTTGACAGGTGAGACAGTTCGGAGATGCGAGAGAAATAGGAACTGGACAGGATTAGAGCCTATATGCAGAGGTATATATATATATATATATTAAGGGACTGTAAGCGTAATTACACGTGACCCTCCATGCAAAGATGGCTCTATGCCTGATTTAAAACGGTATCACTGAAACCTTAATCTTATAAAAAAATGTGGAAGATAACGCGGTTTTTCTAACTCTAAGTGTTTTTTTTTCTGTGAGTTTTCCCATTGTTTCTTACAAGCAAGAAATGCGCAAGTCACATCGCAAATGAAAATTAACAGTTTAAATAAAGAAAACTATCAATATATAATTTAAACTAATTTAAACTTGATCAGACAAAGATTTTCAGGTTACCGTTGTAATTCGAGCATTGTCATCTTGTATCTTGAAATTACGCTTACAGTCCCTTTAAGTATGCTTCTTGAGACAACCCTAATATTTATCTTTTAACGTAAATTTTGTTTGAAATTACTAAAGAATATATTATGGATTTTAAAAGCGTGTGCATGATGTGGAAAACAAATGTTGTTTAGAGATAAACTGCGGATCTCCTGGTATTCTACCCAATGGTTGGTTAGAAGGAACTAGAACCACCCTCCATGCTGTTGTTACTTTTAGGTAAAAATTTTATCTAAAATCGAAACAAAAATGATGAAAGCTGGGGACGGTTTTTTTTTAACAAATTGATCGTTGTAGAAAAACTGAAGGAGTATAGTTTTTTTAATTCCTCGTTTCGTTAACGAAGGTTGGTCGTTTTTAATTTGACGATTGTTAACGACCGCAGTACCTTCGTTAACTACTCTACCCATAATACTATGAAATAGTAAGACAATAATTTGGCAATCTTTTTTGGTGCTGTTAATAAAACCCAAAGTGTTCCCAGTTGCAGAACAGATCAGAGATAAGAGAGTTAAAGAGATCGATTGAAACCTATGATATGCAAAATTTTCCACAGCATGTTTTATTGTGTACAAGTACTGTACACGACCAATCAGCAAACATCTGTATTCTGGGATATTTAAGGATCCTTTGGATATGAAACACAAAATCTTCTAAAATAGATTGAATTCAGAAATTTTATGTTTCATGTTTAAAATTGGAGTTTTTCTTTAAAAGTTGTAAAATGAGTATTATGCTCAACAAGTGGCCGTGAGATGGCACTCTAAAAACCTATTGTAAAAACGTAGCATATGTCTTGCCGGGTCAACTTAGGCCTACGTAGCCCACCCTGTGAAAGAAGATAAGCAGTCTGTGTAGCCTGTATAAAAAATCCACTTATCATGTGAAATGAGCTGTCTTCTATATGCTGTGGATTATTAAAAATCTGAACTTGAGTCGAACAATTGATTTTTCTAGATTCAACGCTTGCATGGGTCTCACTGTATTACGTCGTGAGTCCCTTTAAGACACAAGAATAAGGCTTAGATAACATAAATAACACATTCTTCTGCTACTTAGAAAGCTAAAATTAAACTGTTTGCTAAACTTGATAATATCCACTGACAGTTTAAAAAATTCTGATTAAAAGATGAATGTTAAAAAAGTTTTTCTTTTCTAAAGAGACTGTTATTTAGTATCAAATGACCCTCCACTTGAAGAATGGCATGTCAAAATTATAACGGTACCCTTACAGGCCATATCTCTTAACCCTTTTTTTGCTTATTCTCAATTGTTGTTTCAATTTCTTGAGTGTTCTTTTTTATACCTTTTTAATGTAAAGGGACTGTACACCGTTAGCGTAGTTCAAAATGATTCTCCATGCAAAGATGGCAATGCCCAATTAACAACGGTACCCTGAACAAATTTATCTGAACAATAATATGGAAGATATTGTTGTTGTTCTAGGTTTAAAAGTGTTTGATTCTAACAAGTCACATCGGATTTCCAGTAGTAGAAATGCGCAAGTCACTTTTGTAGAGAAACCACACTTGAAAATAATCAGTTTTTTAATATAAGCATTATAATTTTTAATCCATACTTAATCAGACAAAGCTTTTAAGGGTACCGTTGTGAATCGGACATTGCCATCTTTGCATGTAGGGTCACTTTAAATTAGGCTTACAGTCCCTTTAAGCTACGTGTTATAATTTAAAAAAAAACTTCGTAATCTTAATTCTTAATTTTACTTTCCAACTCCCTATAAACAGATCTAGATTCATAATTTAGATTTACCACAAACTTAGAAATAATATGGATTTACCCCTTCAAACCTCTGAAAACGTAACTGAACTTTTTTCAAGGAAAAAAATTTACCCAGTTTTTTAATGTTATTAAATCAAATTCTTGAGAGCAGAGAGAAAGTAAGCATCAATATGTAACTCTGTTGTACGTTTCTTACGTTTCCTGCTTCACACTTAACTAAGCTTAACTCTAGTATTCCGGTCCATTAGCGCCTGATCCAATCATGGTTCAGCCATGTGTTTGGTGTCTATTCTGAACCAATAGAAATAGTATGGCAGTAACATATATCTATCTATCTAGCTTATTATCCAATGAGAGATATCGGCGCTATAACGGTATAATAGAAATATTTACTTCTACTGAAACTAGTGTAGCATTGGGTAGTTTGTAAAATAGGCATATGATATGCCGTGTACTGTAAAAAGTACGGCAAATCATCAAACTGGTACTTTCTGCTCGTCACGGCCGGTACAAGGAGTCGATCAGTCCGGTTCGAATTCCAACTGACCTTAGTCCACTGCTTCTTCCCATGTATCTTGAATTAAAGATATTTCTAAACATTTTATTGCCTCCTGTGCCGTTCCTGGGTTTCCCTGCTCCTTGTGTTGGACAAAGTTCATTCTGGTCCCAGAGGACCTATTTCTACAATAGGATATTTGGTGCCCTCTAGACCTATTTTCTGGACCCTGCGGGGCCTATTCCAACAATCGTTCTACCACTCTATAGTCCTACACTCTTAAAGGACAAGGCAATTTATTCATTTACTATATTCATTCACTCATTTATTTGCGCATTTTTAAAGAGAAATTTGTGACTTTACTGCGACGTTTTTTCTACTTAATTCACCCATTAATTCAATTATTTGTTTACATATTCATTAGTTTTTTGATTTACTCAACTATTTATTCATTTGGTCAGTTGTTCAATTATTTAACAATTCATTCCAATGCTTTTTTTTAATCCAAGATTGAATTAAAATTTCTCTGAACAAATGTAGTCAAATCCGGAAAAAATGTGAAAAAAAATATATAAATGAATTGATGAATGTGTAGGTTAGAAAAGTATGGATCATTGTAGCAATCGGAGTTTTGGGACTTATTTTAGGGGTTTCTAACTCTACATTTGGGACATGCTCACCAGTGGGACTTGTAAGAGTTAGGGGTTGTCGGTCTCACTGATACAGATGTATTTAGAATATATAGATGAATGAATTGATGAATATAAAGGTTAGAAAGGAAGCTGAAACTAAACCTAAGAATAAATTGTTGGCTGTCAGATCTAACTTTACTTTTATACAGATATATTGTTCTTCAGGGGATATATCTACCTATCTATCTATCCATATATATCCATTTATCTATCTATCTAACCATCTATTTATCTATCCTTGCTTTTCATGAGTCTTGAAGCTTAAAGAAAACAACATTTCCAGGGCAAGGTAAAGTTCCGTTAACGAAACAGAGGTTTTCGAAAATTAACGGTAGAGTCCGATAATGAACAGAAAAAATGAAAATGGATTTGCCGTTTTGAAAAAAATTAAACGGTTGAAAACAAAAAAATTGCCTTAAATCCAGTTTGATAAACTTTTAACAATTTTTTATGGAAGTTTTCTTTTTTAACGCTTGTAACTAGTCGTTAATGACAAGCCTAGAAAAAGTTGGAACATGCCCAGCTCTGGATTTTACCACCAAAAATTTACCCTTTTCTCTATGTCCTTTCAAAGATTGACATGCATTCTTTAGTTGAATGATACTGGTACAAAGCACATGCAGTAAAAATGTATAATTTCAACACATCTGGCATTGTCCATGCTGTCCTTCTCTTTTGATGGCTCACTCTCTGCCCCACCAGAGAAGTAGTTCAACAAGCCCTACCTAGTTCAACTAATCACTTTTTATCTCTGTTAATCCACAGTTTAACCAAGAACTGCGGAGACATCGAAAGAATTTATAAAATGCCGTCTTCTAAACCTACTGATAATGGAAAGCTGCAGATATTTATTTTTTCAATTGAATAATTATTTGGCGCTATTTCCGCATATTTCATAGCTATTCATCTATTTTACAATTACTAAGATTTCGGTATAATAGTATAAAATCCATTTTAAAAAAGTCAAGACGACATTTTATAAATTTTTTCGTTGTCTTCGAAGCTCTGAGTTAAACTGTAATTAAACCTTTGTTAAGATGTCAGGAAGGAATGACGTTCTCCGGACCCTCCTACAGAACTATCTGCCAAGCAGACGGCAGATGGAGTCATCCGGTTCCAAGATGCTATGGTAAGATATTTTAAAGACACTGTAAGCGTACTTTTAGGGACTTTTAAAGGGACTCTGTAGATGACCCTGTGTTTTCAGAGAGATTTATAACAGTACCTTTAAACCCTTTGATTCAAGCCTTACTTTGACTTAGAGTTGATTTAAAAGCCAGCAAACCAGTAAAATCGTTCGGTAAGTAAAAAACAATCGTTATTTTTTCAAAAAAAATTTCGTGAAAATTGTCCATAAAGTCAAAAACAATCGTTTTTTAAAAAGTTTGTTCAAAAAACTCGTTCTTTTAGTAAAAAAAACAATCATTTTTTCCAAATCTTTTGAAAAATTCGTTCGCTAACATTTTATTTCTTTGAATAATCCATTTCGTTCGTCCATCTTTCGTTTTTTTCTTGACAAATTTCGTTCAATGTTAAAGAATAATCAAATAAAGCTCAACTGTGTTAAGAGTTGAGATTGTAGAATGAGTGTCTCTCAGGAGTCAAGACAGGGGTAAAAAGTTAAAAGGTTCTTTCATCATGAGATAGATAGATAAATAGATAGATAGATAGATAGATAAATAGATAGATAGATAGATAGATCAATAGATAGATAGATAGATAAAAAAATATATATTTAAGCATCTAATATGTATATTTAAACACTACTGAAATAGTAGGTCTTTTAGATTTATCTAATTGTACGAAAAAATTGACTTGGTTTGTAGGTTATTTAGCTCTATGCTTAGATAGAAATATCTTTAAAAAGCACATTTCAGCTTCTCCCACGTTCAGCTTTAGTGCTAGAACTTTAAAACGTTTGTAAATTATCTTAAAGCCATGATAAACAAATTCACCATTTTGATCAGCATATATCTTTGTGGGTTTTTGAATGAGAGGCAAACATAAAAATTAATTTTCCTATTTTTAGCCTGAAAAGGCCATGATCTTAACAATTATGGGTCGATTTTGTAGAAAATAGTGAAACCCAGCAGGAGCATATAATAAACGAATTACCAAATCTGTTTATCATGATTGTAAAATAATTTATAGATGTTTTGAAAACTGTATCTCTAAATCCTGGCGTTTATTTTTCTTGGATGTAAGATTGATAGATAGATAAGTTCCTAGATTGAATGTTTTGTAAACTAATTCAACTTCTTTTACTTTATAGATGATTCTATTCATAGGGATGGATAGAGTAGATACTAAACCATAGAGGACGATAGAGAAGATACTAAACCATAGAGATGGATAGAGTAGATACTAAACCATAGAGGAGGATAGAGAAGATACTAAACCATAGAGATGGATAGAGTAGATACTAAACCATAGAGGAGGATAGAGAAGATACTAAACCATATGAGATGGATAGAGTAGATACTAAACCATTGAGGAGGATAGAGTAGATACTAAACTATAGAGAAGGATAGTAAGATACTAAACCATAGAGGAGGATAGAGAAGATACTAAACCATAGAGATGGATAGAGTAGATACTAAACCATAGAGGACGATAGAGTAGATACTAAACTATAGAGGAGGATAGAGTAGATACTAAACCATAGAGATGGATAGATATATAGAATAGATACTAAACCATAGAGATGGATAGAGTAGATACTAAACCATATAGGAGGATAGAGAAAATACTAAACTATAGAGAAGGATAGGTAGATACTAAACCATAGAGGGGGATAGAGTAAATACTAAACCATAGAGATGGATAGATAGATAAAGTATATACTAAACCATAGAGATGGATAGGTAGATACAGTAGATACTAAAACATAGAGGAGAATAGTTAGATACAGTTTACACTAAACCATAGAGATGGATAGGTAGATACAGTAGATACTAAAACGATGAGGAGAATAGTTAGATAGAGTTTACACTAAACCATAGGGATGGAAAGGTGGATACAGTAGATACTAAAATATAGAGGAGAATAGTTAGATAGAGTAGACAGTAAACCATAGAGATGGATAGGTAGATACAGTAGATACTAAAACATAGAGGAGAATAGTTAGTCAGAGTATACCCTAAACCATAGAGATGGATAGGTAGATACAGTAGATACTAAAACATAGAGGAGAATAGTTAGTCAGAGTAGACACTAAACCATAGAGATGGATAGGTAGATAGACTAATCCTAAATCAAATAGAATGCCAAAAACGACTACTAATATTACTAATATTACAATTGAAATGGTAATCATTAGTCCCTAAACTAAGCTTTCGGTGCGTTTTGTAGTAATCTGCGTTACATTGAACGAAGGAAATTGAGGTATTGGTGGAGAGTGGCTTAGTTAGCTTGGGGCCGGGAAGGGTTTAAAAATGCCTGAATGGTAAATTTTCCAACTGCAAGGTAGAAATATGTTCATTTCTTGGAATCAAAACGGAAACTTTGTTTCTCCGACGAAAAGTTTTAATCATAAATTATTTAAACCCCTCTCTCCTGCAAACATTGGGCTTAGAACGGCTTAGCAAAGAATTCATATTTAATGTAAATAGTATAATATTACAGAATTACAATTACAGAGTCTAAAACTAAAGAATGCGCGAATTTTAATTTCGAGGTTAAAAGTTCTGTAAAATAATGAATAGCTACTTAAATATTAAACTTTCTCAATTTTAAATTTGAATATCCCGGGAAAAATCTGAACCAATCAGAGAAAAGGATTTACGGAGAATTATTACGTAACTATCGGTAAGCTTACTCAACTAATCAGAGTCGCGTATATGAAGCCGATAAATTTGAAATTTTGCGCGCGCCATTTAAGATTGATATACATAAACAGAAACAGAAACAGATTTTTCTCTACTTTATCCAAGAAAGAACGCAGAGGCGCAACTATAGGACTTTTGCTAGGGTGGGGCAATATATTATTTTGCATGGGTCTGGGGGTGGGGATTATAGGGGGGTTCCCCCCCCCTTTTTCGAAAATTTTTCAAAAACAAAAGTGCTTTTTTAAGGGTTTGAAGTCGAAAAAAAGGAAATTTTAAGTTGTCGCATGTAGATTTGGCTGTGTTCAATTCAAATCAATTTTTGTTTTTTGTGTTTTTACAAAATTCATACTTCATTCATACTTCCAACAGCTGTAAAATGAATGATATGAGTCAATTCATAATCATTGAATATGTGTGCGAATCGCAAAAGAGTATTTTTTAAGTACCTGGTTTAATTACAGATTAAATTGCAAGAAATAATCATAAAAATACATATAGGTAGGACCTTCAGAAAGGATACT